ATAGTTTCAGAAAAAAAAAAAAAAAAAAAAAAAAAAAGATTCCAAAAGCAGAAAAAAGAGAGAGAAAAGGGGCATCTCTGCAAACTCCTTTTTAGTTATATGTTATGTGGCATTCCTCCCTCTCCTATTCCACCCCCTTTCTCGTGATTTTTCCAATTATTTTACCATTTCTCTCTTTTTCTTTTTAAAAAATTAATTATTTTAATTAATCATTTTTATAAGAGCGTATGAACCTCCTTCTAACATATGTGTTTTAAAATCACGAGGTTGATAGCAATATGTAATGGACTAATGTGAATAATATATGCTAACAGTGTACTTGAGTTGTTATAAAATTAGACACCGAACTATGTGTTAAACAAGTAGAATTCTTTCTCAAATTATAAATAGTAACGTAAGAAACCAAATTATAAATGAATGAAATTGTGCATATAAGTCATTTAATTAAGCATGGATCTAATGTTAATTTCTTTTATTTACTGATAGTTGGGTTGATTATGATTATTTTAAAAGTTTGTTTCTTGAATTTTGTCAAAGAATTTACGACTTCTCTTGATGCTTTCTTAGAGGATATACGAAAACAAGTGTAGTAGTAGGTTGGAGTCGATTAAGGAGGGTAACCCAACCAACCCATATATTAGTGGGTCGAATCGTGGTAGCGTCATGACGATAAGAGCATGAGGCGAAGGGTTTCATGGCTTTATCGCAACAAGTCACACTAACCGTAAGAATATTTTTGAAGCTTTTTTAAAAGTCTAAGATATTAATAAAATTTAGCTTTAATTAATAAAGGTACAAAAACAAGATTTATAAGATTGAGAATAATAATAATAATAATATGAAGTGTGTTATAAAAGGGTACAATTAATGATAATTGAAAGATATTTATTTATTTATTTATATTTAATTCCTTTAATTTTATTTTATTAGTTTTAAATATTTATTAAACAACCTATCTTTTACTTACGTATTTAATTCCATTTGTTTAATTTAAACCTAAATTTTTTATTTTTTAAAATTATATCTAAACACTAAATTAATTTCATATTTTTAAAAAAAATTAGAGGGAAATTAGAACCTATGTGTAACAGATATTATAGTGCAGCTGAATTATTATTTTTTAGACTTATTTCTTTATTTTCATGTAAAAAAATATGATATTTGTTATTTTTATATTAAATATAAACGTTTTATCGATGACTTTTAACTATTGTTAATATACATTTTACATTCAAACAAGAAACATAGCGACGCCAAATTTGAATATAAGACGCTCTTTAAGANATATTATTAACTTTAAAAAAAAAAAAAAAAAAAAAAAAAAAAAAAAAAAAACTTTATCTTCATGATTCTAAATCTTCCATTTCCCATTAGAATTCAAAATGGAAAGAAAGCTAAGAAAAATAAAATTTTCAAAAAAAAAAAAAAAAAGAAGAACTAATTAAAAGAAAAGGCTAAAATAAAATCCAAAACTAAAACCAAAACCCCATATGCCTCCCCTTTCTGACAAATACACATGGGAACAATTTCAAACCCTAAAAAATAGATCAAAGTTTTCTCTCTCTTAATTTCTCCACTTTCTCTCTCTTCTTTCTTCTTTCCCATGAAGAAAAGAAAAGAACAGAAATGAAGAAAAGAAGTTTGTGCGATTCATGGAATGTCATTTTCAGAGCGATCAAAATAGAGAAGCTCACCACTGCTGCATTTAGGGCACTCTTCCAGGTGTTTCGGCACCATGAAATACATTAGGCATCTCTTGCAACCTGCAACCACCAATACATCTTCTTCTTGCTGTTCTTCCATGTTCTTGTTCTTGTTCTTGTTGTTTGAGGACTCTGTTGATGATTCTTCGCTGTCGTAAGAGCTATCGTCGTCGTCGTCGTCGTTGTCGTCGTCGTCATCGGAGTAGCAGTAGTAATCATCGCTGTATTGATCATCTTCTGTTGTGAACCTCGGATCTTCCTTTGCTTTCATTCCATTTCTCCAGTTTATGTAATAAATCTCCCCTGTCTGTCGAAAACAAATCAAAATCCATCAAAAACAGAGGAAAAATCAAGCCCTAGCGCAACGAATCGCATAAATTGAAGCGGAAAACGGAAAAGAAAGAAAGGAAACCTTTAAATCGAGACATTGCTCCCAGTGGTAAGGTAAAGAAAGATGAGAGTTAAGGTGGAGATGATGAGTAGAAGAACCGCCGTGTGAATCGGAAGGAACCGGCGGAGTGGCTTGACGGTGGCTTAAAGAACAGTTCTGGAGAGAGCGTTCTAAAGCGGCTGTTACCGTCGCCATGGTTGGAGTTCTGCTCATTACTCTTCGAAACACACAGAAAATGAGTGTTCGGAGGAGGAAGATGAAGGAAATGGGAAATTAAAAATTAAATTAAAAAAAAAAAAAAAAAAGAAAGAAAGAAAGGAGGAGGTTTACGCGCGTGAGAATCTTACCGGAACAACTCAGTTGGGGTCCACGACGTCTTGTCGACCATCATCGGTGGACGCATTATGTGAGATTTCAATTTACTATCCCAAGCGCGGGTGGGGGCGCGTGTTTATAAAATTTTTATTTTTCCAGGAAAAGTAATTGTAATTAAAAAAAACAAAAAACGTTTCCCGAAAAGAATGCCGCAGCTTTCTCCAACACTTTCTCAATTCTTTTTATTCTTTTTATTCTTTTATTCTTTTATTCTTTTTTTTATATACGATTTAAATATGTATATATATATATATATATTAAAAGGAAAAAGTACCAAGACTTTAAGGTTGTTACCGTTTCACATTTTCAATTTTTTTTTTTTTTTTTTGTGCTATAATACTTTATTACTACTAATAAAAAAATGTATATAAATGTTTCTTTTTATCTCTTTCTATTCTCAAAACAAGCTTATCCTACACTATAGTTATTTCAATATAATTGAAATCTTTCTGCCCCCATTTTCTAAAACTTAAACCGAGGCCAGAGACTCGAGCATACATCGCTTGGTTGTAGGTGACACAAGAACGAATGTTGCTAGAAGTGAGTGTCATACAATTGTAAGTTCGCTGCCATCTAAATACAATTGTGACAAGTGGTTCGAAGATAATATTTTATGTAACAATTCAAGTCTAATGCAAACCAACTTTGAATTTTATCACTTAATATTCAAACCAATAATGGTATCCTATAGAATTTTGGTTAATCAATTTAAGTCGCCTTCTATTTGAGTTTTGCTTTTCAAATTGATAATAAATAATTTTTGTACGGATATAAGACTTTCTTAGTTTTATTTTATAGTTTCATTCAAATGATCTCGTAATAATGAAGACATTATTCTTTTACTGGTATACTCCAATAAAGTTGGTGGGCATATATTATATTTCACGAAGAATAGATAAATAAAAAGGACTGTTAGCATATGACAATAGGTAATAATGCAAATGTATATGATAGCTACGTTGAAAACCTCTAAATTATTAGAATGGAATAATGTTTTATAAGAAACAAGGAGAGTTCATATGGTAGGGATTAAAAGAGGAGGCGGTGGGCCCAACATGTGGAGTTAGTAGCTTCAACTCAGCCCAATTTCCAAGCCCAGGCCCACATGTGTTAGTAACGAGCGAGCCCAGCCTGATTATTAGGGCCAAGATGGGTGGGCTCGTCCAGGTCCAAGGGACCGAGCCGGAGTTGGGCGTGAAGGTCGACCATCCCCGAACATTGGAACCTTGGTCCAGAATACATTGACATCCCACTGTGGCCTGGCTAGGATGATGAGAATGGAGGAGGACTTGGACAAAAGCAAGCTTAGGCACCTTCAAGTCTAAGGTCGACCAGCCCTTTTAAGCTTACAATACAGGCATAGGCCAAGGGCCAAACTACTTACGAGCTTAGGGCTCATCATTCTCGATGATAACACACCACCTAGCCTGAACCATTTGTAATATTGTTCTCCTTGGATTTTTTCTTTTGGACTTTCCCTCAAAGTTTTTAATATATGTTTACTAGGAAGAGGTTTCCACACCTTTAAAAAATAATGTTTCGTTCACCTCCAACTGATGTGGGATCTCATAATTCATCCCTCCCTCAAGGCTCAGCGTCTTTGCTAGCACATCATTCGATGTCCAACGATAAAAAGAACCCTAATCATTTTATCATATAATTGAGGGACATTATCTTCTTTAATATGGGACCTTTGAAGAAACAAAAAATGATACTAATTTAGATACACTCATTGAAGAGTGATTCGACAAAAATATAGGAAAAAATAGACACAAGTGAGAGGTAATTAATTAAGGGGATAAAATAGAGAATTTTGATCCTCTAAAGTCTAAAGTCTAAGGATAAAAATAAGAAAGAAAAAGGAACAATAAACACCTAAACCTAACGCAAAACAATAAAGAAAAGAGAGCAAACAGTACAAAATAATTTTGTACTTATTCAGAATAAACACTAAAATTCCCAATTCTCTATTAATTTTTGACAGTCTTGCCTTCCCTTCCCTTCCCTTCCCTTCCCTGATTAGAAGCGACAACCATAGGGCACCGCCGGAATTAACCTATAAATCATAACCCCACTGAAAATAAATACAAATCCTTTTTTTATTGCTAATGTGAAGCTTCTTAATCACAGTTCAAATCCATTTCTTAAACTTAGATGATGCATCAAATGTTTAAACTACCAATTCATCCATAAAAGACATGTTTGACATTTTCATAGATTTGACATCAACGTAAAGATAACTACTCATTTATCACACTCTTCTCAATTTAATCTTACCTTATGAATATGTTCAATGTTCAATCCATATTGAAAGAATAATGAAGTGTTTTCGAGCAAATTAGGTTAATTGCACTTCTATTTGATTTAGTTCATATCACACATAAACAGAGAAATCTATTAGATCAAGTAAATTCTGTCTAAATAAATAAATATTGGGGGCGTTACCTCTCCTTCCGCCTCTCCAAGAATCTCTGGAGTGACCTTTTCCTGGCTAATGGAAGATCTGAGAACCATTAACCAGTCTTTTAGAGAAATTATTGGAAGACATTGAAATAAGGGCTATATATAGTTTAGGGCTTACAGAAATTATAAATATATTCCCAAAATTGTATTATACAGTTAAAACATATACACATTCAACTAAAAAATCAATGACCAATTTTGTTCATTTTTAACTCACGTGGCTAGAAAATTATTTATTCTATACGTACCCTCATCATCTTCAGAATCAAAGGCCACCAGTTGCTGGTGCTGATTTGAAGTAATTTCAGCCATTGGTTTGCCGTTTTCGGCTTCACCCTTCCCAATGCCAGTGCCAGTGCCACTCCCCTTTTCAGCAAACCTCATAATGTTTTTGGCCTATCAGTGCGAGTATAGCATATATGGTTAGACAGGGAAACGGGATTCATCAAACAATATGGGAAAAAGTACAGTTTTGATCATCTCAGATTTTAATTACTAAAAGAATTCTTTTATTTTTTAAAATCCCTCTTTTTTCTCCTTCCTCTTCTTTCTCCATGCATGGTCTCCCGTGGATATTCGCTGCCGCTCCGCTATCATGTTAGGAATTACACTCTCCACAATTATATGATATTCTCCACTTTGGGCATAAACTCTCATGGTTTTGCTTTTAGCTTCTCTAAAAGACCTTATTTCAATGTAGAGAGTATTCCCCACTTATAAATTCATGATTATTCCGGAGGGCATATGCCCTCATAGTTTTGCTTTTAGCTTCTCTAAAAAACCTTATTTCAATGTAGATAGTATTCTCCACTTATAAATTCATGATCATTCCTGATCATGAATTGAGTGAGCCAAACATAAGACAATCCTCAACACACCAGACACTAGTCACCAGCAGCCTTTTCTATTCTTCCTTTTGTTTCCTTCCCCTCTTAACCATGTTTTTCAAAGCACAAAAAGTGTTCCCTCTTCATTTCAGATATGGAAGGACCAACATGTGGGTTCATTTCAGGCCTACTACAGGGAGGAAAAGAGGAAACTCAACTTGTCTTCCCCACGCAACATCGTACAACAACTTCGTTTTAATTAAAGGGACGTCGTACCGGGGACAGCACCATATGGCGCCTCTCCCAATCGATCATCAGCGTCTTCTCGCACAAAAGGCAAATCCTCTTTCAATATATATATACATATATACATATGTAAATCGATCCTCAGTTCTGGGTTCATTCCAAATCTGTAACAAAGGCCAAATCCCCTTTCGTTTTTTTTTTTTTTTTAAATTATTATTATTATTTGTGAAACACATGGGTAACAAAAGTTAAAGGAGGAGAAGGGAAATGATTATAAATTGTAAGGAATAATTTCTTTTTCAATAAAATTATAAATTTCGATAAATATTTATTAAAAACTTTTGCAGTAAAAATAAACATAAAATTCAAAACCATATTGAATAATTCATTTTGCTGACTCAATCACCTAATCTCTTTATTAAATCATATTCAAATTAACAAAGTCTAACCTAAAACTAATAACAAGAAGAAAAAAAAAAAAAAAGTAGAATCTCAATAAATTGTCTATTCTAAATAATGATGGATAGAATACATAAAGTGGTCCATATATAGCAACTAATTTTAATTATGTATATATAAAAACTAAAAAAATGTGCCAAATATAAAATATCAAGTAAATTATTCTTTTGCAAAAGGTGCAAGAAAAGTAAGGGATTTAAAACATGAATGAAATTGAAAAATAACTTTAATTTAATCAATATAATATAAATTTAACGACTAGTGGAATAAAATAGAATGCTTATCCCAATAACCAATAAAGTAATATCCACTAAATATTTTGTAAAAATAAAAATGACATAAATATGAATATAATGTTTTTATTTACCAAATTCAAACGTCTAAAATATGTGCAAGTTAGATAACTAATAATTTGTATGGCTCTAAATCGATTTAGTTCTTAAGTTTACATTGATTTCTTAAAGTTTGAGTTTGAAATTTAATTAATAAACTCTAAAGCTGATGAGTATAAATTAGTTTATTTTTCCTCTTAATTTTTTTCATCCTTCAGTAAAAGGCAGCGTATATTTTAGGTTGAAATCCGTACATGATGGAAAGGAAGAGGAAATGGTTTAAACGAATGGTACCTCATCACGCGAAACATGGAAAACGGAGACGGTTTCGTTGTAGAAAATCGTTAGAGGATATTTTTCAGAAGCGATCTCTGGACTCATCCTGAAAATCAGAAACCACAATCATGATTTTACAACCAAAAGAAAAGTAGAGTTTCAGAAATCAAAAAACGAATCACGATTACAGAACCGAACAATGAAGGATTAGAAGAATGCCTGGAGGTAGTAGCGGAATAAACAGGCGGTGGCGTCGAGAGATTCTGATCAACCTTAGGAGTCCGGTGCAGTGACAGCGGCGGAAATTTCTGAGGAATCGGAGTGGC